CGTTAATTGATTGAAATACATCAGTTATACGATATTAACACATCAAATCTCATATTCTAAATTGTTTACAGCATTATTATTACAGTACCATTATGTAAAGTGGATTCAAAATGTATCATAAGTATGCGTTATTAAATGTAATATTAATTTTGTTATTTATTTTCATAACTTGGTTATGTAAAACAACTTCGCAACCAAATTATTAAATTAAATATAGATTTTTCTAACAGTATATGAATATCGAGCTATCCGTCTCGGATTTGCCAATCTACGGGGCGTTTTCAACAGCATTTAATTGTTTACTTCTACTGGACATTTAGTAATGAATGCGATCTCCATATAACTTCGTAGCCGTGCGTCTACCGAAAAATTTGTCACGGCTATAAAGATGATCGCACACTACGATCGGAACGTTCTATTTTATACATTGTATTATCTATAAGCGTTTAACAGCTGCATTTCTGTCTCTTTATACCGTGATTTGTTGTATTGAACATAACGATAATTCTCCGTGGGCGAGCGTATTAAGCGCATCGCGCGAGATCTGTTTTCACCGAAGCATACGAGATGTAAAATACACAAATCGGATTCCACGTGGCTAAAGACAACATTGTGGCAGCGATCGCGCAACGTTACGCGTTATCTTCCGTATAATTAATATTATTTTCACGAATCCACCGCTCGTGATAACACGGTGTCGCTGATAGAGCGAAATGGGGAATCGCAGATCGCGGCCGCGCAATTAGATATTTTGAGTACAGCAGACTCCACAATTTTATTCATTTTCCACTATCGCTCGAGACTTATATTGAAGAAAACTACCAAAAGTCGAATTAATGGCGAAATGATTTGAAACTTTGTGTGGGTTATTACAAGAAAGGGCACTATATGAGCACCTACAGTTGTTACTCATGCCTTCTCTGAGTACCCGAACCAAGTTGCTCCTCAAAACCACCGCGACATTCGTTATCGACGTTAGTTTTATTACCGGCGGAACGCCCACCGTGCCGCAAACGCATTCTTCAAGTATATATTTTTTCTCTTGACGCGTATGTACGTACGCAGGCTGTCGCGCGACGACGTACGTTCCCGAGGACACACGTACGCGCGCGCACACGCAACGGTTGCGTGCGAGCCAGCCGTTTACCGAGTCATTGTACCCCGGCGTGCACTAATCGACATTACATATGCGCGATGCATTAAGGCAGGTCACTCGCTGATGCACGTCGAGGAAGCTTTCGAGTAGGAAGCCACTTCTCCGTTCATTTCGCTCGGCCTGCAACGGAACGCGGATTTTTTCAAGACGAATCCCGCGCATCTGGCATCGCGTCGGAGAATTGAGCGATTCCGGATCTCCGAGCGAAGAAATTTCATCCAGGTGAAAGACGAACAATTCCTTGACGAGCCCATCGAAGAACGAAGTGCGCGGCGCGAAGGACGAAGAGTCCGGAGAGCGAAGTCGCCCGCGCGAATTCAATTTCGAGATGGATGCGAACGGCGGAGGGAATCCTCGAGTTCTCGATATTTCGCGACGGAGAACAAAGTTGAATCGGCGGCTGGAATTGGAGAACGGCAGAACGGGGCGCCGATAGATTTGATTTCGCACAAAGACGAGCGGCACGCAAGCAGGAGGTGACTGTTGCACGGAATAATGGCACACTTGCAATCTCATTACGCGTGACTCAGTCGCGAGAACAAAAAGAGCCGACGTTTGCAAGTGCGCGCACGATAGTCATTTACGCGCGCGTTTTGTAGCGGTTCGTTAAGCTGATCACCTTGCACCTCTTTTTCCCTCTCATTCTCTCTCTTTCATTAGCACTTGCTCGATATATCGTGCCGATAACGAACGACACACACACACAGCTCGCATATAACAATTTATGCTTCTGTCGCGACAATAATTTGCATTTCTTTGTACTTTGACCTCTTCAGGAAGACTGACATTTACGTTCAATTTTTCTTCTCTAATTCGAACACGTTGTCGGCAACATATAATGGACGTTACTTTGAATAAATATTCGCCGCAAAATTACCCGAAAGAGAAATCCCCGTAACGTATGATTAATATATTAACTAGAAAATTCCCGTCATATGATAGTATCAGCCACAAAATTCCCGTTATATGATTATTTATTCACCACAAAATTCTACATTCGACAATCTCGTCATATGGTTAACAGATGTCATATTTATATGTCACTTTAAAATTAAATAAATTCCTTTTGACTTTAATCAATTCATTCCTGATAAGATTAACGCGTGTTGATTTTCATTGATTGTAGGTAACGAAACTTAAGGAAGTTGTAAGATGAAAATAAGTTTAATAAAAATTTGATGAAACAATTAGAAAAAAATTGACCATTCGAGAGTTAAGATATTTATAATTAAAGTTAACACTTTTCTATAATGTTGCTTGAGATTAGTGTGCTATTATTATAATTTCTAATATTTTAACATATTCTATATTAGAAATAAGATTTTGTTGAAAAACTACTATGATATTAAAGACTAATAAGCAAACATAATGCACAAATATCAGAATTACCGACAATTTTGTTTTGAAAATACAGCGGTATTCATAACTTATAGTAACACTCAAAATACATATGTACATATTTAACACTTACATATCTCTTCCTATTATCTATGTTTCTCTATTAAATTAAGTGATATATAAATGTAATATTAATAAGAAAAACAAAAAAATAATAATATTTTTATATTTGTACAGTAATATTGCGTATAGAGGATGTCCCAGTTCTCGCGACTTTTAATTTTACCGAAAGGTTCTCTGAGCAATTTCAAGTTAACTTTTCCTCAACGGAAATGTCGAGAAACCAATAGTTTCCAAGTTACAAGAGATTAGAAAGGTAGGATTTTTCGCGAACTACGCTTCCAGCGATCAAATGGACAACAAAATTATTTTCTCCGATTTATTTCAAACGGACTTGATGGATTTAATTTAACAGAATTTTAATTCGAGTCTTGGCTAAAAAAATATGTTATGTTTCAGACTGAAATGTTGTCATAAATAATGACCAACATCAATATTTTCGCTAAAAGAAGTTAACTCTAAATCGTTCAGGGAATCTCTCGGTAAAATTAAAAGTCGCGAGAACTAAGACACCCTGTAGGTTTATGTTTACCTCAATTTCGTTTCAAATTAACATTTATTATTTAGATAGTGAAATAAATATGTAGGAACATAATTTTGCTTGATAAATACTAAATGTATGAGTAGCTCTCTTAATGAGCCACTGAAAATACGACATCGAGTCTTATATACAACCTCCTTAATTAATGAATAATTCACCAAAGATACGGTAAATAAATTAATTCGTGAGGCAAATATTTTTCACCGTTTCATCGGTTCTCTTATTGGCCGTGCGATCGACTTTTCCAAAATATAATTAATTATACTTCATACGTAACTTAAACACGACAGTATTATAGCGCCGGTCACCGGTGAATGTCACAGCATTCAACGGGTGTTAAAGATGATAGAACATAATGAAACGTACGGTTATGCGTTGCGTTTTACACATTGCGTGAATTACACATAAATCCGTCGAGTCACGCCTTTAGGGCGTATATTTTTTCCTCGAAAAAGTTATTCCTCACTCAAATGCCGTTCTTTCCTCTGACCATTCGTACACGCGTTCTCGTGAGACCACGTTTTTTTAGATTTGACCGAATTCGCGGTCTCTTCTTCGTTATTCGGCGCTCACGCGAGCGGACGACGGCCACCGTTGTCACGCACACCTGCCAAGAACATGTGCAGCTATTCACGTGGCAGCTGGATAAAGCCTAGTCCAGCTTCTTCACGTCCGCTGCTTCGTGAATCATCGTTATCTTTCTCTCTTTTCTCGTATGTTCCCGTACGATTTCCGTAGTGATTGCGATTGTCGACAAGAGTTTTTGCAGCGCTGATTGATTCCTAGCTCTCCAATTAACGGTTTTGCGCCTACAACTACAACCACGTACATAGTTAGATGCTTAAAAGTTGTAACACTTTTACCTTGATGAGTTTTGCAACGTATTCCGTATCCAATAGGGACGTTTGTTTATTTATTTATTTACCGAATCGAATCAAATTGATGAAATTTCACTTAAATCGAATCGAATTGTTGGAACATAACTTTTAATTGACAACATAATCGTTGAACATGAAGATAGTGAAAGAAAACTTATATGAGAAGGATAACATCGATTTTATGATATCAACTCATTTTAAAATAAGATTTGTGTTTAAACATTTAGGATAAAATTAATACTGATGAAATATATTTTAGTTAGATTAGCAGTAATTGAAATAGTCAAATTAAAGATCATAAATCAATCACTAAAGCACCTTGAAAAGCGTTCTCATTATCTGGCCGTTTACAATCAATTCAGAAACTTTTTTCGACACAAAATTTTCGAATTATTCGTATTCGAATAGTTTGCACGTCCCTATTACTTAATACAAATTATAACTCTTCCTCCTTCCGTCCGTCTATTTACAACATTCTGTGCCTCAGTTATGTATACTAAAGAGTGCTTCTCTCTCCCTTCCGTTAATAAAAATTATTATTATTATTTAACGCAAAGTCGAATCATAAAAATCATAAATCAACGAGATGAGAAGTGTCACGAGTCGACAAACTTGAATATATTCTTCGGTAATTCTCAGACGATACCTTTTCCTACCGAATACAGGATACATTGGGAAACTCATGAAGGTAAGAGCGTCGCAACCTCCGAACGTCCAACTGTACAATCGGGCACAAGCTGGAGTGCAACATATAGCCACCGATATAGCTACCGATGCCGCGTCGATGCGAATTCACCGAGCAATTGCGGACTCTCCGATAGAGCGGTGTGTGCTTTAACCGACGGCACTATGTTGTGCATCCACGCTGTGGGTGGCGATGACGCTCGCGAGAGTGGGGGCGTCCAGCTGACCGGCCGCGCGCGGAGCAAACTGTCTCACCGTATGTTGGGTCGCCGCCGCCGACGTGGCTTTGACAGTAGTGCAACAACCGTTGCGAGAGTAGCGTCGTGCGCGCTCGTCAGTGTTCACGAGGCCCACGAGAAACCGCGGTGCGATCGCCGCGTCCCGTCGCGAGAGGATTGTGTGACTCGTTTGAAAACTTGCCGCACTCGCTTCGATCGGCGCTTCTCTCTCTGGACGATTCAATCGGAAGCGCGTGAGAAACCGAAGAGACACTTCTAATTTGCCCCTCAGAAGGGGGGATCTCGATCGACGAAGGCGGCCACGATCGAACGGACAGATCGATTCTCGCCGGTCGATCGATCGATGCGACTGGCGCGCTCCGCTCCAAGGGAGGGCGACGATTTTCAATCCGCGTGCAGATGTTTGAATAAACATTAGGGGGGAGATAGAGTCGCTCGTGGCAGGCGTACAAGGAGACCATTATTACGATATTCCACGGGCGCACGTCTGCACGCACACACACAAGAAGAGCGCGTGTGTGGTTGCGCGCGAGCGCGATAAACGTTATCTACTGGCGCGACGCTAAATCCTTTCGCGGGCCGCGAGAGGAGAGGACCGGTGCTTTTCAGGAAGTGTCGCGGCGGTGCGGGTTCCCGTCCTGTTGCCCCTGTGTCGCGGGTACTACCGGAAGTGCATATTAGCCAGCTAAGGAGAACGATGCGGACGGTGTTGGTTGGCTCTTCGTGAAACACTCTCTCTCTCTCTCTCTCTCTCTAGCTGTCTCACGTTCCGTCATACGTTTAATAAATTCAGTAGTTAAGCGATGCCACGGCTCGTCTTACTGCGTCAGAAGGTAAATAGATTCTTCTCTTTCTTACGCACTACTTATTGATGTAAGGACATGTCACGCGCATGTTATTCATCTCAACCGCGAGAGAGGCTCGTCGTCTCTCGATTACGAATAATCGACATACGCTCCAGACGAAATTCAAGAGGAAGTACACGACACAGTTATAAATATAAATATATATTTATTTATATAAATATGTATATATATATTTGTTTAGATTTTGATTTATATAGTTTCTACTTGAATTGTATAGTATGTAAACAGTATTTTCTTATGCCGTCTGTAGGTATGTAGGGTACTCAATTTATTATATTGTTAAATAAACAACAAAAGCTTTATAGAAAGGGAATGATTCCCGTATAAACAAATGAATATATATGAAAAAGCTTTATCTACAGATTTTTAAATGTGTTCCATTTTCAAATACTTGATTATTCATGGCTACCTGTGTAATTCGAAGCAACTTATTCTATAATTTTAAATAGTATTTTACGAGTACTCACATGAATAATCAAGTATTTTGAAATGTGGGAGACATCTGAAATTCTATTGATGAAACTTTCATTGTTTAATCAACGATATAATGAATTCATATCTAATACATCCACACATAGTATACTCTGAGAAAAAAATATTCTAAATTTACTTATGGGAAATAGTTTACTTCATGGAAACTTTTTTCTTAGAAACACACTGTACTAAGAAAATACTATTCATACATTACCCTATTGAAAATTCTTAGGTGGATATTCACGGAGATCCAAAGGAACTCACGTGAATCCATATAGGATATTCAAAATCCATATAGGAATTCATATGGATTATTATCCAGGGTCTGCGTTTTGTCCAAATGAGATTCCAGAGGCAGATTCTTATGTTATAGATATATATATTAATTATTTCTCTTTATTATAGATTATAAATTTCCTATATGGATTCTCATGCTTCTTCTTTTCAACGGGGTGCACAACTCAAGTATAGAAACTGATAAGAATGAAAATTCGTAAACACTCGGTTACTTACGGGTGCCCCTGACATAATATTTCAATGTCTAAAAGAATGCTCGATGTATGAATCGCCCGATAAAGTTTTATCGGATTATCTTGGGCGTCTTTACATTGCGAACTTTATCGCGAAGTTAATTAATGAAGTACCGAATGCTTCAGGTACACGACACGTTAGCGCAGGGTTGTTCCACAAGTAGATATTGTCATGCGTTGGATTTAAATGTGGATCACGCGTTTATCACTCCGTTATCTCGGTAACCTGTAAAGCCAACATTTAATCTCAATCATAAGGAAGATACGAAATAACGCGTCTTTCGTCTTCGCCACTCAGATAACATACCTCCACGAAATGACGCGCATATCGCGCACGTGTCATAAAAAAAGTAACATTGAAACGGCGACTGCATAACGGCGTATCGTAGGAAAAAAAATAGGAAAACAAGCGCCTACTTCCGTACGCCTATCACAATTGAAATCTTCCAATGTCAAGCGACGCGATAAAAAATACAGGAAATGATTCACGATTTTCAAGCGGTGTATGTGCGCGATCTCGGACGGCGAATGATCGACGCGCTCCTCGATCCGTGCGATCGTCGTTCGACGGACGATTTGCGAACTATCGAACCGGATCGACGATGACTTATCGTTATTTCCTGACATACCTCCGCGACTCCGCCGTATAATTAACGTTTTACGCCGGCTTCCACAACGAAGCTTCGTGGAATTAATTCCCGCGCACACGAGTGAGAATATTCCGTGACACGTTCGCGCTCGGACACGCGAGGCGAAGGAGGCGTCGTTATGCTCGGTATACGGCGGAATTGCAGATTTCGACCTCCCGGCGAACTGATAAACGATAACGCACTCTCCTGGCGTTTTTCGAGTTTCTCTGCGGCGCCGTGTCTCGGGAAACTCGGAGTCATCGCGCCGATAGAAAGCGCATTCGCGCCCAACGCGAAGCGCGCGCCGCTCAGGATGCGATTGCTTGAGCGAAAGGACCGTGCAATTTGTCTAATTAACACGCGCAATTAAATACGGCGAATCAAAATTTATCTACGTTTATTTATCGTGAGCTATTCGTCACGATGCTTGCTTGCGGTTAGCCGCGCCGCCGCCCTGGTATCTCGTCGAATTAATTTTCCCGCACGATGTATGGAACGAGTTTTCTCGCACGCGCGCAAGCGCGTTAAAATTCGTATGCACCGAGCAAACGGACGAGGAAAGAAAAGCGAATGCAAACTTTCGTTACAATCTCTTAAGTGTATAGAGGAGAAGGTGATATTATGGTTCTTGTAGACACAATGGGCCTATCTTAATAACTCCGTTATTAGATAGCGAATTCTCTAGTGATTACTTACGGAATCATTTGTTTAATAGCCTGTCGTTACGCAGCAGTGCTAACACGCCAATATACAATATATAACAGCCGGCATTTGTTATAGCCCATTTTTACATTCGAGCATTTCGCAATATTTTCACAGTACATTTTAGCATTTAATTACACACAGAAATCGAATGCTGGATTCAAGTAAATAATTATTTTAATAATACTTAGCAAATTTTTACTTGGATTACATAAATTTTACTTAGATCAAATTAATATTTTACTCGGAAAATTTTTCACTCGGGTCAAATAAATATACGGATTCACAATTCTGTGATCGATTCGATACCGATGATTGATTTTCGGACCGTTCGATTTGACAACTACCAGATTTTTCATTGCAAAACAGGATCGACGCTGCATCGATGACAGATCCGTATGACATTTTATTAATATCACGTCGATGTATAGTCGACATCTATGTGATATGTAAGAGATATCATATAGGTGTCATCCGATTATCGATTATCTAGTCGGTACCTAGTCGGTATCATATTCAAGTCAAATTGTTATATCCATGTGTCAACTTAACGTGAATATGATATACTCGTAAACTATGTAACGGCTAGAACATCAATATCTACATAGTATCTACTAGATATCGCGATGAAGTCTTACAAATATCAAATCGAACATTGATTCCCACATGATTTCGATTTGATTCCGCCCGGATTTTTGTTGACCGGATGTTCTTCAACCCATTACGCAATGTCGTCACATTTTTATATAAATAACGTCTGAAATTTTTAATATTTCAACCTTGAAACTAGAATCGATTGAATAACACTTTGATGAATATAATCGTTAAATTTTCAATGTAAAATATTGATTATTAACAAAGTTATTGTATGAAATATAAATAGAAGACCATAATAATATCATCTTCTCCTGTACGCCATCCTATACAACGAATCCAAGCGAAACATTTCGAGCCAATTTGCTTAAGGTGGTTTACCGAAGAAAGTTCTACATTTAGACGCGAATATACACATTCGTATTACAACACATTCGCTGTTCGTTGGTTCAATGTAATCAATCTTTGTGCGGCTCTCACACGCGACCGGAATTGCGATACAATATTTCTGTGATATTAACGCTATCGCGCTGTTTGTGTCGGCGATTTTTTCTTCTTTTTTTTTTCAAAGTAATAATTGCTTGTAGTCGCTGATAGTAATGAGGATCTGCAGGCGTCAGCACACGAAAACAAGGATACGAGCCTCGTGGCGAGTGCAATTGTCGTTTTCACGAGGAGAGGGAATGAAGGGAACGGGTCTTTTATCGTGGCACGAAGGAAACCGCGAAACTCGAAACAAGCGGAATAATTTGCGCGAGGTCGTCTGCGCGCGGCACGATTCTGTCCGTTAAAACGATTAACGTCGTCGACGACGACGACCGATTTTCCTGTTAGCTCGCTTTCCTGCACCGGAGCAGAGCTTGAACTTGGAAACCGCGCATTTGGCGTATAATCGTCAATGAGGCCGTCGTCCATGAGCGAGCGTGTCGTAACGACGCCGGATGTTACATCCGTCACTTTCCTATTCCAGCCGCGGCGTCATATTTTGATTTCATCGCATCGCCCGATTCTTCTTATCGCGCCGTCTCGCCGCGATTATTTCCCTCCGGCCGACTAATCCCCATCACTAATAGAAATTATCATTATTTCCGGCTTCGATTATATCCTTTCTTTGATTTTAACCACAAAAATAATAACATAAGCGTGTTAGACTATTGCCACTGAAAATATAGAAACATTTACTACACTAAAAAAAGAAAGTGCTACCGCTCAAGTAATATTAACTTGATTATTTATAATTATTTATAATCCACTCACTATGGCTTTTATAGTTATAGTATTACAGCTGCAAATATTTTTCTCTCATCGATCCAATGTCAGAAATCCATTGTCATTTCCGATGGACGACGCCGGAGTGATCAATTGGCAAAAGTTTCGTTCGATTATGCGCCGGCCGTTCGCGTATTTGTCGCCGATCGCGCAATGTTATACAGTGCGATCGAAAATTATTTAATTACTGTATCACGTTTCTCGCTGCTAATTAGAGCGTGGGGCCGCCCGTGGGCATGCGGCAAGTGGGTCATTCGATCGTTCGCCAGGTTCGGAAAGCGTGTGAGCGCGCGGATTCATCAGCCATCGCTCGCGTGTTTCATCGATCGCCTCGGTACCGTCGAAAATTCCATACCCCAGTATATACGCTCAGCGAAAATCGATTCTCCGGACCTTGCCTTACGTACCGTATGTGCCGCCGTCGGGCTCGAAGCGTCGGCAAAAAGGAATTTTGCCACTCAGAGTCGCGAATTCGTCGGGCCGCCGCGGGCTCGAAGCGATCGGCAAAAAGGAACGAACTGGAAATCGCGTTACGCGGGAGAAATATGATGGGATATAATGGAATTTTAATTTCGACGCATCGATGTAATATCCATCGGGATTATACGTTTCCCGATACATGCCACGATTCTCGAGTGTCGAGCGGGAGAACCGCGAGGGAGGGGGTGGGGGTAAAGGGGAGGCTCGACGATTTCAAAAACTCTCGAGAAAAATCGAGCACCGTGAGATTAATGCGCTGACGCGGTGGTAACCGACGAACTTGTTGATC